TATATACAACAAATTTTTTAAAAATATATAAAAATTATAATTTAAATTTATATAATTTAATAATTATCTATTAAATTATTATTATTATTCTTAATTGTATTTAAGTTATGTTTGGTATTATAAATGTATAATACTTACAAAAAAAGTGAATTTAGATGTAATCAATTGTGTACACTACATGGAAACATTTAGTGTACACATAGAACTTTTCAAATAAATGCTGTTCTTTTGAACTTTCTATTCATCAAAGAATCGCAGGAAAAATATGAAGCGGCACAACTGTTTCCAACAGTGATAATAATCAGAAATGTTTCTCGAGCAGCAGATCAGCTTATTAGAATGATTTCTGAAGCATCATGTGACACTGAAGACTGGAGTAATGATGCTGAAAATTCAGCTTTGCATCACAGGAATAAATTACATTTTAATATATATTGAAATAGAAAACGGTTATTTTAGATTTGTAATACTATTTCACAATATTCCTCTTTTTACTTTATTTTTGATCAAATAAATGCAGACTTGGTGAGCAGAAGAGACAGTAAAACAAAAAAAAAACTCTTACAGACCCCAAACTTTTGAACAGTATGTGACCTTTACATTGCTGGGATCTGTTTTAGCTTCTATTTGTTTAATATCAAATATCCTATTTGTGCAGATACGTGTACTGGACTGACTGGAGAGACAAAGCCTTCATTGGACGTGTCGGGATGGATGGGAATAACAAGTCGGCCATCATCACTACTAAGATCGAGTGGCCCAACGGTCTGACTATTGACTACACCAATGACAAGCTGTACTGGTCTGATGCTCACCTCAACTACATCGAGTAAGACTACCTCACCTTTACTGTATATCCTGTCAATATTTAATTAGTGCACATTTAAATATGACATTAAATATGATATGAAATGAATTAATCACAAATGATCAATATTTGCTGACAAATCCTACAAATTAAGATTTGGTCGTTGCATCACAAGCTGGTTTCCAACATTTTTTCCCCTCCATTTTTAAGATGCTGTTTCAAGGAACTTATAAATTCTGCAAGTTTTTCATTGCAATTTCGAACATCACAAAAACGTCACTGTTTGATTTTAAGGACATGTTTATTTTACTTTTGTACAAATAATAAAGAATAATTGTAAGGTATTATAAATTAACATTTATTATAATAGCAAACATTGAATGTTTCCTTAAAATTCAAACACTGAGATGTAGCCAATGTTTGAAGTTAAAATAAATATTTATGCTAAATTGTAATGATTATATATTTAGTTCATTATTATTTGCATTTCATCTTATTTTTTAAAACGTTTGTATGAATAATAAGGACTAATTGTTAGAAAAATTCATATTCATTTTAATTTCAAACATTGAACAACTTTTTTGTTTGATTTTACTTTCACACAAATAACAGAGAATAATCTTTTTAGAATATTATGATTTAATATTATTTTTTAATTGCAAACCCTGAATGAATTTCACACATTAAATACGTCGTTAAAATCAAGCACTGAAATGTATTAAATATTCAGAATATTCTTACAGTCATTGTCTATCAATTTTTTGTTGTTTATATGGTTAGTTGCATTTTATTTGCATTTAGCCTTTTTTACATTACATGAATTAAGTATGATATGTCAATTCATTTATCAATTTGATTAAAGTAATCACATTTATCAATATTTGCTGACAAATCCCACAAAGGTAGATTTGGTCACTGTATCATTCAAACTGATTTTCAACATTGTTTTTACCATTTTTAAGATGCTGTGCCATGATTAATTATGCAGGTTGTTTTATTGCATTGTTATTTACACAAAATGAACATTAAACATAATTCAAATGGTTCTGTCTCCTCAGATTCTCAGATCTGGACGGGAATCACAGGCACACTGTGTACGACGGCGTCCTGCCGCATCCTTTCGCCATCACGGTGTTCGAGGAAAGCGTGTACTGGACGGACTGGAACACGCGCACGGTGGAGAAGGGCAACAAATACAACGGCTCTGGACGGGAAGCGCTCATCAACACCACCCACCGACCGTTCGACATCCACGTGTGCCATCCCTACCGCCAGCCCATAGGTGAGCCCAGGACAGCGTAACCCGAGCGGGACGCTCATTATCTCACGTCAGATCGCTATCACTTCCTTTAAACGTCCACTGAGGCACTTAAGGGTCTCTGCCAATATTTACACAGTCCGACACAATGCCGCCAGTCTCTGCTCGCCTGTCTTTTCTCAGAGACAGGAAAGACTAAACTCTTTATCATCGCTGTAATGGCCAGGACAGGTAGTTTAAACCCTTTATCTGTGGCCTTCTTTAGAAAGAGGAGCTACACCTACAGTACATGATGTGGAGCCACATCCTGGTTTTTTGTAAGAGGATATAGTCGAACTCAACTGACTACAAAATGTACTTTGGGCAACAAGTGACGACCCAATTCAGTTCCACATACAAAAGTAAAGAAAGATGTCATGGAATGTATTTTCATTTCAAATATTAAATAAGGTGTATACATTAAATCAAATTAATTTATAGTTTTCTTACAGTTATTCTCTATTATGTGTACAAAAGTAAATAAAACTGTTTTTGGAATAAAACATTTGAAATTAAAATAAATGTGACCCTGGACCACAAAAGCAGTCATAAGGGTAAATTTTTTTGAAATTGAGATGTATACATCATCTGGAAGCTGCACAAATAAGCTTTCCATTGATGTATGGTTTGTTATGATAGGACAAAATTTGGCCGAGATACAACTATAAAACTTTTTTACAACTAAAAATCGCCTTTAAAGTTGTCCAAATGAAGTTCTTAGCTATGCATATGCAATACATATTACTAATCAAAAATTAAGTTTTGATATATTTACGGTAGGAAATTTACAACATATTTTCATGGAACATGATCTTTACTTAATATCCTAATGATTTTTGGCATAAAAGAAAAATCAATAATTTTGACCCATAAACTGTATTTTTTATTTTTTTTTGCTATTGCTACAAATATACCCCAGCGACTTAAGACTGGTTTTGTGGTCCAGGGTCACATATACATTTATAATATTCATCTATGATTATAAGCTTAGTTAATTATTATTTGCATTTATTTTATCATTTGTTTATTTATTATTTTTATTGTGTTTTTATTTTTGATTCTAAGGGCATGTTTACATACAAAAGTGTTGAATAATAGGGGTGATCATGAGAGAAATGATAAATATTTTATTATTATTTTAAATAATGTAATTTTATTGCAAACATTGCAAACAATTCAAACATTAAGTAAAATGTAGTGCTCAGTTTTAAGGCCATTTTTATTTACTTTTGTACAAATAATAGAAAATAATCATAAGAATATTTTATATTAATATATTTTCTTTACTGCAAACATTGAATGCATCGCAAACATTGAATTTATCCTTAAAAGCCAAACACTGAAATGTTTCCAATGTTTGAAATTAAAATAAATATTCATTTATAATACTCTTAGAATTATTATTCTGTATTATTCATAAATAAGTAAATAAAATGTTCTTAAAATCAAACAATGAAATGTATTCATTGTTTGGAATTACAATAAATATTTGTTTATAATATTCTTATTTGTATTCTCTATTATTCATACAAAATTAAATCAAACACTAGAATTTATTTAATGTGTGAAATTAAAATGAATTTGTAAAATTCTTAGAATTATTCGTATGATTATATGTTTAGTTACTCATTATTTGCATTTATTTTAGCATTTGTTTATCTATTATTCTTATTTTTGTTTTTATTTTTATTCTAAGGACTTTTTATGCTAATAATAGGTAATAATTGTTAGAAAAACATTGAATAAATTTAGATTAATATAGATATAATATAAAACAATATAGAACCATCTTAAAATTAAGTATAAGTATAAATTAAGATTTTTTTATTGCAAACATTAAAGGATATCAAAAACTGAAATGCACTCAATGTTTGAACTTTAAAGAAATGTTCATAATATTCTTACAGTCATTGTCTATTACTTTTATGGTTATGGTTATGATATGGTTAGTTGGATTTTTCCATGATTCAGGACAGACCTGAAACTCTTTTTTTGTTTGAGAGCCACTGATATAGTCTCACTCACACTATATCTTTCTCCTGTAGTGACGAATCCGTGCGCGGTCAATAACGGCGGCTGTTCTCACCTTTGCCTCCTGCGAGCCGGAGGTCAGGGTCACACCTGCGAGTGTCCTGATCACTTCCTTACTGTGCAGATAGGTGGCGCTGCACGCTGTCTGCCCATGTGCTCCAGCACACAGTACAGATGCGCAGACAACGAACGGTTAGTGTCTCCATGCACACGCTTCTTGAGTCAGGCTCTGTTCCAAAGCCTAGTGAGCTGCCTTGCTGTATAGTGCCTACATAGACAGCTGCCTTCTAAGCAAGCATCCTAACTGAAATGGTACCTTTTATTTGTCTTTTCTTACAGCTGTATCCCTATCTGGTGGAAGTGTGACGGTCAGCGAGACTGCAGAGACGGTTCGGATGAGCCCTCCACGTGTCCCCTCCGGCACTGCAGACTGGGCCAGTTCCAGTGTAATGACGGAAACTGCAGCAGCCCGCACTTCCTGTGCAACTCTAATCAGGACTGTCCCGATGGGTCGGATGAAGACACGGTGCTGTGTGGTATGGAAAAACTAATATCAGTGTCTGCAGTGATGCCGGTGATGTGGCCCAGTAGTTAAAAATCTGGGCATGAAGCTTAAAGGTTGTAGGTTTGAACCCCATAATAAAATCTAGTAATAAACAGCAGTTTTTGCTGCATACATTTTTACTAAAACATTGTATCATATGAAGAAACAACATGCAGAGATTTTTGTGATCAATCTTGAGTGTTATTTATGCACTATTATAGTATTTATAAATATTTTGATTTAGCTTGTTTTTTTTTTTCTTTTATAAATGTGCTTTTGACATTTATTTTTAGTCAATAATTTTTTTTCAGTTAGTTGCCATGGCAACATTTGTAGTTTTTCATGTAATGTTTATATTTTAAATGTTTTCAAAAATGTAATATTTCCTTAAAAACCAAACTCAGAAATGTATTCAATGTTTGAAATTATTTATATACCACTATAGTATTTATACATTTTTTGAATTAAAGTTCAAGTTTTATATACATTTTTCATTTTATTTTATTTTTTCATTTTAATTTAATTTTAGTTTTAGTTACTTTATGTTCTGTCATTTTTAAAATGTTTGTATACTAATTTAACTTATTTTTATTTCAGCTTTAGTTTTAGAAATTTTAGTACTTCAACTTCAACTTATTTCAGTTAGTTGCCAAGGCAGCATGGATTCATCATTTTCATTTGAGTTTTTCCATGTAATATTTATATTTTATTTAATTTCAAAACATTTAGTATGTGCTTAAAAATCAAACATTGGTTTTTATTTCAACTAACAAAAAATATTTGTATTAGTTTTACTTTTAATTTTAGTTAACAATATCAGTGCTATTCTGAATAGTTATTTTAGTATCATTGAGATACTTTTATAGTTTTTATTAACATTTTTAATCAGTTTTAGTTTTTTTTCCATTGTCATTTTAAAGTTTTAGTAAATTGGTTGTGTGTTTTTGTCATTTTTAGTAGTTCATATATATATATATATATATATATATGTGTGTGTGTGTGTGTGTGTGTGTGTAAGTTTTAGTTATTTTAGTACATCACGTTAAACCAAACATCACCTTGGCAACTAGCTGAAATAAAAAAGTTTTTATATTTTACTTTATTTCAATAAACGTTAATTTTATTTCAAGTAACAAAGATTTTTTTTAGAAAAACACTGCCATTCTGACATTTGCTTTTGATTGGGCTGTTGCTGTCTTGTGTTCAGAAATGCATCTTCCTCTCTTTCTGTACGTCAGCCACCCATCAGTGTGAGTCTCATCAGTGGCAGTGTGCCAATAAGCGCTGCATCTCTGGGGCCTGGCAGTGCGACGGCGAGAACGACTGCGGCGACGGATCTGACGAGGATCCCGCTCACTGCTCCAGCAGGACATGCAGACCCGGGCAGTTCAAGTGCAGGAACGGCCGATGCATCCCGCAGAGCTGGAAATGTGACGTGGACGACGACTGTGGTGACAACTCCGACGAGCCCATCAACGAATGCAGTGAGCTGCTGACTCATTACAGCATTATAATGCATTTGTGTTGTTGTTTAATTAGTTTAAATTAGAGGAAGAAAAAGTTATGCCGTATGAAGTGAAATTAAATCTCTTTTCTCAGTCTTTTTCGTTGTTGTTAGTCATCTGTGTAATGTGGTTTGCAGTGGGTCCGGCGTACAGATGTGACAATCACACAGAGTTTGCCTGCAGGACAAACTACCGCTGTGTTCCTCTGTGGGCCGTGTGCAACGGACACAACGACTGCAGGGACAACAGCGACGAACAGAACTGTGGTGAGACATCAAACATCACACGACTGAAAACATGACTACGAATGTATAGATTTGTATGTATAAAATGTATATATTTATTAATAAAATAGTAAAGTAAGTAGTAGTGTTAATAAATCATTTAAACATAAAAAATTACTATAAAATTATAAAAAATGTATTACATGACTGAAAACATGATTCAGCGTTAGCAGTGCTTGCTTGCAACTAAATCATGTAGATATTTATTGATAAAATAGTAAAATAATAGTAAAAGTACTAATATTAGAATGATGAAAAAATTTAAAATTACTATACAAAAATGTATTAAACAAAAATTACTCTGTGTGACCATTTTTATTCAGAAACGGATATTAAATATTAATTGTAGATATTCAAATGATTTCAATCCAATTTAATCTAGCTTTCTAATAAACCTGGCATTATATATTATGAATATTGATGGCTCTGAGATGAATTGCTTTGGATAAAAGCGTCTACTAAATGTATAAATGCAAATATAAATTAAAATATAAAATAAAAAATGTTAAAATGATTTGCAGCATTATTATTCAAAACATGACTCGGTGTATCATAAAAATAGTAAAGTAATATTAGAATTAATAATATTACATTTTTAAAAAATAAAAAAGTAAAAATGATTAGAAAAAGAATGATTAATTAAAAAAGGGTATATCAGTATAGTGATCCGTTTGCTAAAATCTATTTTTGCCTTATCCGGCTTTTAGTTTTTTGTATATTAACATAAAAAACATATTTAAAACAAATTGTAAAATTGGTTAGGAAATTGGGAGTTTTTTTTATTAAGAATTAAATATAGGCCTATGCAATGCTCACTTTTTGAAATCCAATCAACAACCGATAGAATCAAGTCCCATCCTACGTTTTTTTTCTTGTTTGATAAGCCGTTTCACTCAGAAAACACCAAAAAGTTGGACGGAGTTTCCATTTCATGCTGACTTCAACAAAAATGCCTAAAATAACTAAAATCACATTCAATGATTGAAAAGCTTCCCACGTCACCTTTAAATTTCAGTCAAATTCAGTAAGATGAGTCTGTAGTGTTGTAGTGTCAGTGATGTTGTGTGTTTGTCATGATGGATTGAAATCATGAAGAGTCATTGGTCCTCTCACACTCCAGCGCTACATTAGTGAGTGTTAGTTCAGTCTGTCTGTGATGGACAGGCCCTCGGTGACCCTTCCTCCTGTCTGGGGTCACACCACTGATTCATGTGCGTGTTGGGTATGTCTGTGTCAGGCACCAGTGTGTGAGCAGCTGTGATTATTGTTTCAGGAAGGATTGAGAGGTTTTTACTCTTAATTTTACTGGTCTGTTGTCAGTAATCTGACCGATGCATTCACACACACACACACACACACACACGTAGCCCCAGTTCTCCCAGGTCTTATCAGCTCCCTCTAGCACCATTAGTGCCATCCTGCACAGAGAGGAGAGAGAGGAGAGATCGCCCTAATCTGACTGTAAGAATGTGCCGCCCGTGTCAGGTGGGGCACTGCTGAGTGTGTTTGTTCATCTCCTCCTCTTCCTTCCTTTCCTCTGTCCACCGTAATGTGCATATTTTCTGCCTCATTTTCTCCTCCCTCTTAATTTTCTTGTCCTCTTGTCTCATTTCACCTCACTTTCTCTTCTTTTCTCCTCTCGTTGTCTCTTCACGTTGCACTCATTCTGCTTTATTTTTCCTCCTCCTCTCTTATCATTTTACCTCGTTTTGTATTATATCTCACCTTTTCTCCTCTCTTCCCATTTTCTCATCTCGTCTCACCTCTCCTCATCTCCTCTCTTTTTATGTTCTCTTGTTTTTCTTCTCTTCTCGTCTGTTTTTTAACTCTGCATTCTTCATGTAGGGTTTCTGCAGGTCTTAAAAAGTCTTAATTCTCCCTTTCACAAATGAAGACCTTAAAAAGGTCTTAAATCAGAGCAGTTTTAAATTCATAAAGTGGTGGCATTAAAAGTGGCATGCACTGCAAAAAATGAATATCTTCCTTTTTTTCCAGTACAAATACCTAAACATCTTTAAATCAAGATTCATCCTTGAGATGCAAAAGGATATGAAGTTATGAGAAATGTCTTCTGAGAAATTTAACAAAATTAAGTATGTTTATACTAAATATCTGCCAATAGGAAACGGAAACTAGTTTTCCCTTTGAAAAGGTGCTTTTTCTGAACAAAATGCAAAAACATTTTTGTTTAATGTTAGCTTTTGTGTTGTGTATTGTGTTTGCAGAGGAGTTGACCTGTGAGCCGGCGGGTGATTTCCGCTGTGATAACCACCAGTGCATCCCCCTGCGCTGGCGCTGCGACGGAGACAATGACTGCGGCGACGGATCTGACGAACACAACTGCAGTGAGTAGCAGCAATCTGACCTCTCCGGTTCAGTCAGTTCAATATAAAAAGTGCAAGAAGCAAGAGAGAGAGTTCACTAAAAGTCATTATTTACTCCCCCTTGTGTGGTTCAGACATACAAATTGGATTTTATTAAGAATTTAATCTTTTTAATGATATCCTGGATATCCATTTAATGAAAGTGAACGAGGACTTGGGCTGTCAAGCTTCAAAAATGCAATTAAACTCCATATAAATATCATCAATTGTCCATTTAACTCTCATGAAGCTCTCAAATCAGATATGGTGCATTTAGTGCTTGTGGTTTAACGTTGACATGCATGAACTAATGATACATACAGGGCAAGAAATTCTGTGAATATTGATTTAAAGTGATAGTTCACCCAAAAATGGGAATTCTTCAACATTTTTTCCCCCTCAACTTGTTCCAAACCTGTATGCATTTCTTTCTTATGCTGAACACAAAAGAATCACTTTTGAAGAGTGTTGGTAACCAAACAGTTTCTGGTCCCCTTTGACTTCCATAGTATTTTTCCCATAGTATGGAAGTCAATGGGGTCCAGCAACTATTTGGTTACCAACACTCTTCAAGATATCTTCTTTTGTGTTTAATAGAAGAAAGAAGGAAATTATGTGAGGGTGAGTAAATAATGACAGAATTTTCATTTTTGGGTGAACGATCCCTTTAAATTTTGATTTGCTCTTTACATAAAGCTATGTATGGCTTCTAAAGTGGTAAACTGCTTTTATGTCGTGTTGGAGCTTGAAAAAGAATGACTCGGTTATCCTTTAACATTTTACCTTCTGTGTTTAAAATGACATGAGGGTGAATACACTATCGCTGGATGAACTGTTCCCTTAATAAGACAGAAAGACACCTGTAGACTTGCCTTACTAAAGAAACAGTAACAATAAAGACAAAGATGAAGGGATTGAGAGGAACAAATTGAATAGTGGAGGAGATGATGTGATGGAAGACAAGGTGCTGTGAGGTGTGAAAGGTTGACAAATGATCTGCGCTGAACCTCTGAGCTGCATGTTGAAAGTATTGCTGATTTTTTCAGCACTTTCTCCTCCCTGCAGAAGAGCTGTAGGGGTGGTGAAGGCGGGTCACTCCCCTGATGAATTCAGCTATGAACTCACCTCCCAAAAACAGCCTTAAAGAGCAAGCTGTATCTCATCAGATAAACCTCCAGTCCTGTGACACATAATAACCCCACTCATCTGTGTCAGAGGCTTTTTGTTGTTTTACTGAAACTGTTCAGGTGGTGTGTCGGTTGCATTTTGGCTTTATAAACATTGCGTGAGAAGCACCTCTGTTCACAAGATGTATTTATGCATTCTGATTATGCTATTTTTTTTAGTTGTTGGTTAATGCAGACAAGTGACAGATGCACATCTTTGGACATTGTGCCACATCCTTGCTGCCAGCAAAAACTTGTTTGCCAGTCTTAGCAGGTTTAATCTGGTCTTCCAGCCCGGCTAAGCTGATTTGACCTTATTAAGCTAGCCAGCTTGCTGTTTTCCCATCATCACCAGAAAAAAAACGCTGCCTAAAACCACTTTAAAACCAGCCAAAGGACCAGCCTGTCTGTGTGAAAATAAAGTGTGCATAATTGTATTGAATGTTCAATGCATTTGTAAAATGAAGATTTGCTGAACATTTCATCACCCTTAGGCCATCCAAGATGTAGATGAGTTTGTTTCTTCATCAGAACAGATTTGGAGAAATGTAGCATTGCATCACTTGCTCACCAATGGATCCTCTGCAGTGAATGGGTGCCGTCAGAATGAGAGTCCAAACAGCTGATAAAAACATCACAATAATCCACAAGTAATCCACACCACTCCAGTCCATCAGTTAATGTCTTGTGAAGAGAAAAACTGTGTGCTTATAATAAACAAATCCATCATTAAGACGTTTTTAACTTCAAACCGTTGCTTCCAGCTAAAAATATGAGTCCTCTATCCGTAATATTGGCTCTTTCAGTATAAAAGCCATCTTGTCTGAGTCAGAAGAAAAATATGCACAGATCAAGCACCGTTTACAAGCGAGAACAGTCCAGAACGGTGGATTTTGATGTGAAAGGACAACAGGGGATGGACTTTTTCACTGGAGGAAGCATCATTATGGATTATGGACTCATTTTGATCAGAAGCAACCCGTTTAATGTTAAAAACCTCTTAATGATGGATCACAAGACATTAACTGATGGACTAGAGATGTGTGGATTATTGTGATGTTTTTATCAGCTGTTTGGACTCTCATTCTGACGGCACCCATTCACTGCAGAGGATCCATTGGTGAGCAAGTGATGCAATGCTACATTTCTCCAAATCTGTTCTGTTGAAGAAACAAACTCATCTACATTTTGAATGGTGAATTTTTAGCAAATTTTCATTGTTATGGAACTAACGCCCCTCACTTGTGGTGAAATCACAGTGTTTGGACTCTCATTCTGACGGCACCCATTCACTGCAGAGGATCCATTGGTGAGCAAGTGATGCAATGCTACATTTCTCCAAATCTGTTCTGATGAAGAAACAAACTCATCTACATTTTGAATGGTGAATTTTTAGCAAATTTTCATTGTTATGGAACTAACGCCCCTCACTTGTGGTGAAATCACAGTGTCACAGCCTCTTTGGGCTTATTGCTTTATTTGCTTTGTATGTATGTTCATGCGTGTCTGATTGACACGCTTCTTATGCATCCGCAGCCCCTCGTCCGTGCACAGAGAGCGAGTACCGCTGTGACAACCTGCACTGCATTCCTGACCGCTGGGTTTGTGACCATGACAACGACTGCGAGGACAATTCTGACGAGAGAGACTGCGGTGAGTGAAAGAAAAAGAGAGACAGCAGAAAGGAAAGGCCATCAAAAGAGGGATGGAGAGAGCCGTGGCACTTGCCACCATGTTCAACATCATAATACTGTCTTTTTATTACAGATTGGTCCTCAGTGGGTGATATCTCAATGCAATTGTGTGCCTGGATACCTTGTGAATGACTTACAGGAAGTGTGCATAATTCATTTTCCATGGTGTACTGAAAGAGATTGGCTTCATTCTTTGTGGATGAATGTGTTTCAGAGCTGCGGACCTGTCACCCGGGTTACTTCCAGTGCAGTAGCGGCCACTGCATCGCTGAGCGCTTCAAATGTGACGGCAATGCTGACTGTCTCGACTTCACTGATGAAAGCTCCTGTCGTGAGTGTACCAAGGTTTTTTTTTAAAAATCTATTTAAATTCTGAGATGCTCCTGAAATGTAACCAGAAGATAGCTGTGAGTTATATTGCAGCACCCTCTAGAGTCCAAAAGTGTTGTGCATCCACTGGCATGGAAACTTAAGGAACATCTTGTCCTGGAAAACTCCATTTTGATTAAGGATTATGAAGACAAACATTTATTTTAAATAAAAAATTTAAACCAATAAATTGCTCAGGATCATTTTGAGCTGCATTCAAATAGTATAGCACAGCACTAGCAATGGCAAAGTCACTGAATGTTGAATGCAATGCTAGTCACCTCCCATTTATGTTTATCTTGACTTTGAGCTGTATGTGTGCATATTTCAGCCACACGCTACCCGAACAGCACCTACTGTCCACCCTTCCTGTTTGAGTGCAAGAACCACGTGTGTGTGCAGCAGCACTGGATATGTGACGGAGATAATGACTGCGGGGATAATTCAGATGAAGAACTGCATCTCTGCTGTGAGAATTTATCTATCATTCTATCTATCTACCTGTCTGTATGTCTGGCCTGCATGATAATGGTTTAAATCAGTGGTCACCAACCTTTTTAGGCCCAAGATCCCTGACCCCGGCCTTTATGAAAAACAAGATCTACCTATTGAAGAATTGATAGAAAAAGACATCCAAGATTGTACTTCAAATTTGAGGCCTTTTACTTAGTATTTTAATTAGTGATGTGCCGATCATAGCTGATTCAAAATTCAGATTTTCTTTCTTTTCTTTCTTTCTTTTTTTTCTTTAACTAGCAAATTGGATTCTGATACTGATACTGATTTTTAAGCAAATGTATTTATTGGCTATTTGCTTTATAACAAACAAACTGGCTTTAAACAAAAATATCTAGCCATTTGAAATTAGAGGCAACCACTGCATTTTAATCACGATCTGCACGGGCAGTTGTTTTTGATTTGATTTAGATTAATTTCAGGATTTAAAACAAAAACAGAATGGTCTGACTTTAGGTGTTATTTATTTATTTGCTACATAAAACATCTGCACGAAACAAAAACAGCAGGTCTGAATGAGACGCACTCTCTGACAGCAGGTGGCGCTTATGAACAGGGTTGCCAGGTTTTCGCAATAAAACTAGTCCAATCGCATTCCGGGGGTAAAATACACGTTTTTTGGCGGGGATCTTCCAGTAAAATTCACATTCCAGGGACTAAATATCACGTTATTGGGGTCGCTTCAACCCGCGGACATGAACAACAACCCAACAGTGTTAAAGTAGCCCAATTCCGCAATATAGCGTTTCGTTGGTTACCGCTGTAAACAAAGCAGAGTTGCGCTTTATACGGAGAAGAAAATGCCATTGCCATCAAAACTTTTCTCAAGACAGTTCCCTTCAGTGATACATTAATATAACCCCATAAATGTAATGCATTTTTGTACTTATTTTACTGTTTTTTTTTTCGGGATCTACTGGGACAGTGATAAAGATCTACGATCGCGATCGACGGGTTGGCGACCACTGGTTTAAATGGTTTAAATATTGCTCAGAGATATAATAATAATTATTGTAATTTAATTTAATTTAATTTTTTTAACATTTCGTTAGAATTATTGCACTTTCATATAAGCACAATTCAAGAGAACATCAACTCCAGTGTTGCCAAATGTGCAGTTTTCCTGTGAAATTTTTTACACTATTGCGGCGGGTTGTTTTTTTTAGTCTGCATGTTAAACAATCCTCCTCTCACCCCTGTGAGAAATAGAATGCTAAATTCTGCACGGACCTGGCAACCCCGATCAACTCACAGATTTAGTCACAGAAAACAGCACAATCGACTGAAAGTAAACAGTCTGGTTGTATTACACTTTTATTTGAGCAGAATATCTCAGTTGCTCAGCTCCAACTTAAATGTTTGCCGGTGTTTTCAGCTCATCAGCGGTATATCCATAATGTAGAGAGAGCACATGTGCATGGTTGCCAGGTTGGGATGATTAAGTAAACCACTGGGCAAAACATTTAGAGAAAAGCTCTAATTGGGGGATTTAAACTCTTGAAATATGGCAACCATAACATGTTGTGGAAGCTTGTTACCAATGGAAGATAATGCAAATGGCAAATTAAAATGAAATTATAACTAACTATCTATCTATCTATCTACACATCCATCCATCTACCCTTCATTATATAGATCTCGTATTATCTAAATCATATTGTCTAAATCATCTCCTTTGTAAACCTTCTTTTTCTAATATAATTTGTATAATATACATCAGCTAAATAACCTAGTAAAATCCAACTTTTGGCATTTTAGATGTGGAACAAAGTGCACAAACGTCATGTTTCTTGTCTCCTCAGTGGACATCTCATGTGATCCTCCGTTCCGTTTCCGCTGTGATAACACCCGCTGCATCTACAGTCACGAGCTCTGCAACTCTATAGATGACTGCGGTGATGGAACCGACGAGAGGCCGGAGCATTGTGAGGAACAGTTAATAGACTGTCAACCATATGTAGTATTTACCTAATCATACCTTTTAAATTCCCTAACTTCTATTGAAACTAGTAAAGCACCCTGTTTTGTGTGAATGGTTCCTCAGGTGTGACTCCCACACATGGGCCCTGCTCTGGAGACGAGTATAAATGTGGGAACGGTCAGTGCATTCCTCTGCAGTACGCCTGCGACGACTATGACGACTGTGAAGACCAGACCGATGAACTCGGCTGCTGTGAGTTTTGTTCATTCACTCACCTACATGTTGTTTATTATTTTCTTTCTTGCATGAACAAAAGTGGATGAAGCTCCAAGAAGGACAAAAAGCTTAGATCCTGTTTTCCTGCACATCTTTGTTACATTTCTTTGTCTGTCTCTGTTAGACTATGGCCATGGGCGCACATGCAGTGAGAATCTGTGTGAGCATAACTGCACGGATTTGTCGACTGGGGGCTTTATTTGCTCCTGTAGAACTGGATATAAACCCAACCCGGAGGACAAGAACACCTGCGATGGTTTGTGAATCATCTGAATACTTTCTTTATTAGAAGACCTCAATATTTACAGTAAAACGGGCTTATAGTGGCACTCCGGAAGCCAATCAGGACAACAGGCACTCCTGTAGGGGCTCCAGCGACTTATCTTCAAACCCAAGTCAAGCCACATTTATCTATATAGCGCTTTATAAAATACAGATTGTTTCAAAGCAGCTTCACTGAAATAAACAGGAAAATAACACTTGCAAAATTCAGCAATAATAAAAAGACTTTAATTTTAGCTGTAAAGATCACTACAGAAGGCAGTTATCATTATTTAGCTCCGATTAGTTCAAAAACAGTGTCAATGTTTCAAAGTTCAACAATTATGTAAAAAAAATCTATTTAGCTATAAGCAGCTCTACAGATACAATAGTACCATTATTTAGCTCAAGTCAGTTCAGTGTTATTTTAATATAACTGACATACTATTATAGTTTATATTAATATGTTGAATTAGTTTTTATTTTTTTTATTTTCCATTTTAATGTTCACTTGAGTTAAAGATTTTTTTTGGGGGGGGTTGTCATTTTTATTGTTTATTTTTAATAATAATAATAAATTATGTAGTGTGTGTGTATATATATATATATATATATATATATATATATATATATACATTTAGTTATTTTAGTACATCAATTTAAACTAAATTAAAATGAAAAATATTGCGACAACTAACTGAAATAATTTTTTTTTAAGTTTAGTTTTTTGTATTTTATTTTATTCCAGTAAACATTTGTTTTATTTCAAGTAACGAGAATGTTTTTGTATGGTTTTAATTTTCATTTTAGTTTAAGTTGACTATAATAACCAATGTTGGAAAATTGCTGTGTCAATTGCTGTGTCAATGTTGGAAAATTGCTCAATCATGAAACAAATTTGATTCAGCTATAAACCAGCTCTACAGAAAACTAGTGATATATTTGTCTTTTATTCCATCCTTTGCATGGACACTTTTCTGTCTGCATGAAAGCAGCACAAGTGTGTTCTTGTATAATGTTACCACAGCGTTATGAATTGAAATGCTTCCTGTATTTCCTGTATGTGAGGTGTTTTCTGCTCGTCTGCAGATGTGAACGAGTGTGAGATTTACGGGACGTGTCCACAGCTGTGCAGGAACACTAAGGGCAGTTATGAGTGTTTCTGTGCTGAAGGGTTTCGATCAGTGGGAGAGCAGCTGGGAGTCGAATGCGCTGCTGAGGGTGAGGCCTGTGGTTTATTACTTCTCTCTTTTTTACCTTTTACAGCCTCCTGCTCTTTCTTTATACCATTCTTTCTTTCTCTGTTTCTTGTATATCTGCCTCTTTTACCGTTGTCATATTTTGCAATCTATTTTATATATTCTAAAATGCTACATTATAATTTTCCTGCATTTTAAGATATCGTCTTTAGGCCAGATTCAAGCAGCGTTGCATGTGTCCTTCAGGGAGAAGGCAATCCCATAATGCACTGCGGCAAGCTCAACTGAAAAAAATTGAAAAATGTTAATTACAAATATAAATATTTTATTTTAAATATAAATATAATTATAATTTATTCAGTGCTGAGTATAAAAAAAATCTGAATGACTGAAAAAAAAAAATGTTGCCATCAAATGTATATTTTAAAAAAAAAGAACAACAAAATATTACAAAGCATTTCAAAAATTAACTATTTTATCCAATATTTATATGTTTAACGTTGTAAACTTTCATTTTCTAATATAATTTGAAGGGCATCCCTTACCAAAAAGAAGTATACTTCAAGTTTATTTTTAAAGTTCTAGTATATTTTTAAGTATAGTTTATGTAGTAAGTATACAAATATCAGTGTACTAGTAGTATACTTGTAAGTGTACTATTTCAATATTCCTTGGGACTAAATTGGCCCACTTTCTAGTATATAAAAGTATACTTTTAAGTATACTTTAAGTATAACAGTAGAAAACTTTGAGTACACAACTAGTTTACAACTATGTTTTTAGTTTGTACTGCATCTATACTAAATGTAAACTTATAGGTATACTGATAGTTCACTAATTAAACACTTGTAGCATTTTTAGTACACTTTGAAGTATAGTCTCAGTAAACTATTAGTTTAGTAGTTTTATACTGCTAGTATACTTGTAAGTTTAAGTGAACTTTACATCATACTTGAAGTATACTACTATTTTGTTATATGAATATCTGAATATACAAAACATCAAAAGAAAGAACAGAGTATCTACTTGTAAACAAAAACATTTTATTCTAGCTTCATGCATTCTTTTTTTATAAAAACTTGAATGTGGGTAAGTTTCATACAAAGAAATAAAGAAATAAACAACATTTTGAACAAAAAGCTGAAAAAAGACTATGAATTGGATTCAATAGCACCCCCTACCGTATAACAATGAAACCATGGATTCCCGGAGCACAAGAATAGCTCAAATTTTTCTAAGTATAAGTCAAGTATACTTAAATGTCATTCTAAGTATATTTCTGAGAAATACATAAAGCACATTTCTGAGAAGTACATAAAAAATAGACTGAAAGTATACTTTCCTATTTTTAGTTTAAAAGAAGTATACCACTAGCACACTTGAATAAACTTGTTTTTCGTAAGGGATATCAGATATGATGCAATAAAATCCAACTTTTTATGTTTTTTTTTTTGAGTAGCGAGGTGTTAGCTTAGCAACCTGCTAATGCTAAATGCGAATGCTCTATTAATTTGATACATATTTATGCTCATACAGAAGTCACTTTCAAACCAAGCTGCTTTGCATTGGTCAAACCTAAATGGGGAAATCTTTTACCCTCATGCAATATTTCTGATTGTGTAAATTCCTATTTAAATGACTGGATTTTTGCCTGTGATAATTCAACAAACAATGGTAAATATGAACTCACCTGTAGCTACAAATGTAAGCAGCAATTCAAGTCACTAGGCTTTAATAACATCACGATTTAACGTGTCACTTTCTCACTCTTTTGTTGTTTCTTTTGCTCTCTGTGTGTGTTTTTTTTCTCAGGAAATCCTCCCGTCTTGTTATTGCCTGATAATGTGCGGATCCGTCGATTTAATCTCTCATCGGCGCAGTACTCAGATTATGTGGATAATGCAGAGCACATTCAGGCACTGGACTACCTGTGGGACCCAGAAGGCCTCGGTCTAAGTAAGACAATATTCACGGGATATCCCATCTATTATGACACATATGTTTAATGTTTCAGGCAGATGTAGCACAGGGAAGCACAATTTACAGCACAATAGAGCAGAACTATGGTTATTTTGGTATTATTTATATACTATTGTAGTACTTATTCATGTTTTGAATTGGCCTTTATTTTTATATTTTATATCAGTTTTTTTTATATCAGTTTTCATTGTAATTTTCATTTTAATAACTTTATCTCCTTTTATCATTATTGTTTTATTTTCTGTTTAGCTTTAATTTATTTTTATTTGTTTTGGTTTTAGTAATTTTATTACTTCAACTTACTACTCAAGTACTTTAGTACTTCAACTTAAGCAGTATTTTATTTTTATTTTCAAATTTTCATTTAGGTTTTAAGGTTAAGTTTCCATCTAATATTTGTATTTTATTTGATTTCAGCTTTCAGCTTCATTTAATGAAATTTTTTAAATAGTTTTAGTTAAAAAATAATAACACTTAGCGTAGATACGTTTTTGTATTATTTATATACTATTATAGTTATTATTAAAATGTTGCTATTATTATTAATAGCTTTTATTTTTGCATTTTTAGTTTTCATATTCAGTTTTAGTCGTTTTTATTATTTTTGTTATTTTTCTATTAGTTTTTTGTTTGTTTGTTTGTTTGTTTATTTATTTTAAGTAATTTCAGTACTTCAACTTAAACTTTATTTCATTTAGTTGCAACATTTCAAATTTTTTAATGTTTATTTACGTTTAGGTTTTCATCTAATATTTATATTTTATTTTATTTCAATTAACAAAAATTATTATTATTTTTTTTTTTAGGTTAACAATAACAACACTGAGCAAAACAAGAAGTTTCTGGAAATTTAAAAAAATCCATCTCGGATCTGGTTGGTTTGGTTTGTGACTCTTTACTGAAGTATGTTTTGAAATTCCTGCCAAACCAACCAAAGTTCCTGAAAACATGATCACTGTTGCACTGTTGTATTATTGTGTTTCTGCAATCAGGTTATGTATTCAAACTGAAGCATAATTTGACATTTCTGAAAATGATTTTTCAGGTATAGTGTACTGGACAGTGTTGGGACGAGGCTCAGAGTTCGGTGCGATTAAGAGGGCCTACATGACCACGTTTGATGACCATGGAAATAATCCTGTAAAGGAGGTGGACCTGAACCTCAGATACATCTCCAGCCCTGACGGCATCGCTGTGGACTGGATTGGAGGGTACGTGAAATACTTCTCTAAACGTTACTGTACTTGAGCTCTGATGCAGATTGTCTAACTGGTTACTGGGACAGTTCCAGAGAAATAAAAAGTCCTTCTGCTATGTGTTTTGTCTTTTCCATTAGCCATATTTACTGGACAGATGCTGGCACTAATAGAATCGAAGTGGCAAAACTGGATGGACGTTACAGAAAGTGGTTAATTCATAGCGATCTTGATCAACCGGCCGCTATTGTGGTCAATCCTAGTCTAGGGTAAGAATATGAATATATAACTGCTCATTTGGGATTAAAATACTGTATATTAAACTATATATTTACTGTATTTTGGGATTAAAATATAGTAAACAGTCTCGAGGGATGGCATGGTCATGACATTTTTAAAATTGTGATTTTTAGGTCTTGGAAAAGTCATGGAAATAAAATTAATACATCCTATAAAAATGTAAAAATCTTAAAACACTTATCTAATAATCACAAAACAATTTACAATATAATTGAAAATTCATTGATCATACGTTGTGGGAAGTCATACTGTTGTTGTCAATAATGAGCATTATTTTGTGCATGTATCTGTTATAGTAAGATGTTCTGGACCGACTGGGGCAGAAAGCCCAAGATTGAGACGGCGTGGATGGATGGGCAGCACAGAGAGGTGCTGTTAGATGAAGATCTGGGCTGGCCTACTGGTTTAGCTTTGGACTACCTGAATGAAAACCGCATCTACTGGTGTGACTCAAAAGAAAACATCATTGAATCGATGAAAGTGGACGGAACAGACCGGCAAATCATCATATCAGGAGGTGAGACATCCCAATACATCCCAAAACTGCGTTTGACTGGCCAATGTTCTCACGTTTGTTGTTATTGCAGACATCGGTCACCCCTACAGTCTGGATGTGTTCGAGGGACACGTGTACTGGACGACTAAAGAGAAGGGAGAAGTGTGGAAAAAAGATAAGTTCGGGAAAGGAGACAAGGTGAAGGTGTTGACCATAAACCCCTGGCTGACTCAAGTACGCATCTATCAGCAGCACCGACACAACCACTCGGGTGAGACCGGGAATCCTTACGTCTCAATGCAATACTACATTGTGCTGTGTCAAGTGAAACAAATATTATATGTGACCCTGGAGCACAAAAGCAGTCTTAAGTCGCTGGGGTATATTTGTAGCAATAGCCAACAATACATTGTATGGGTCAAAATTATGGATTTTTCTTTTATGCTAAAAATCATTAGGATATTAAGTAAAGATCATGTTCCATGAAGATATTTTGTAAATGTCCTACTTGTGTATATAACAAAACTTCATTTTTGATTAGTAATATGCATTGCTAAGAACTTTTTTTGGACAACTTTAAAGGTGATTTTCTCAATATTCTGATTTTTTTTTTGCACACTCAGATTCCAGATTTTCAAATAGTTGTATCTCGACCAAATATTGTCCTATCCTAACAAACCATACATCAATGCAAAGCTTATTTATTCAGCTTTCAGATCATGAATAAATCCCAATTTGTGGTCCAGGGTCACATATTATATTCTAGTATGAATAGTTTTATGTCACACTGACAGTATATCACAATATAGTTATTTAGTTTCATTTAGTGAAAACATTGTTGCGTTAAAGCCTATATTTGGATAATTCATTGAATAAAATACTTCACAAATAAGGTAGTTCATTTTCATATTATCTCATTTATTTCCCCTTTTTAGATTTGCTTTGATGGAATATTATTTTTTTTAAATGTATGAATTATGAATCGGTCAGTATTTAATACCTGATTTACAAAAAAGACTTCAAATTAACATTATAAAATGGATAGTTATTAATTAATTCTGGTTTTTAGTACCTTCTTTTTTATCTTTTAATATAATATTTTAATTGGTATTTGCTATAGTAATTATTCTGGTTTTAGTGCCTTTCTTCCGATCTTTTAATATAATATTTTCATTTTCAAATATTGTATTGAAAAATAAAAATAAAGGCACTAAAAAACAGAATAATTTTTATGCTTTTGAAAAAAGTCACTTTTGCTGCGTTCATTTGATCAAAACTACAGTTAAAAAATATACATTTTGCTAATATTTTAGCAATTTAAAAGAATGGTTTTCTTTTTTAATGTATTTTAAAATGTAATTTATTCCCGTTAGACATTATTTAATACCTGATATGGCTTGCAATTGATATGACTATGCATTTTATATAAATTTAAAAAAATAATAATAAACAATATATATTATATTAGCAATAAATGACTTTGTAATATATATATATATATATATTTATAAGATATATGTCTGCTGTTAATTGACGCATGGTCATGATAGTGGTTTTGCATTTGTCATTATACACAATAACAACTGTGTAGAAACCACATCTGAGGTGAATTAAGCTGAATGTAAGCGCAAATTCCTCAGTTCCATTTCACCGCATTTCTTTTAGCCAAAGATAATTCCTGTAATAGTAATAGTAAATCACCGTTCATATTCTCTTGCAGTGCTCAACCCCTGTCCGAGTGTCTGCAGTCACCTGTGTTTGCTGCGGCCGGGTGGATACACCTGTGCCTGTCCGCAGGGCTCCACGCTGTTCGCTTTCAACAAGAATGAATGTGATGCCGGTAAGAGATGAACAGATGCCCACTGCTGTTAGATTGTGAGAAGAACTGACTGGCTACATTGCATCCCATCAGTCCATTTCATAACATACATGCATGTGCTGCTACTACTGCATGTTTTCATTATTGTCGTGGTGTTTTGACTTCAGTGCATTGATACTGAGATAAAAGTGAGTGTTTGATTACATTGTGGCTGTGTTGCATTCGTTCATGGCGTGCCTTGCACCTGCAGCCATTGAGGCAGAGGTGTCCATGCCGCTTGCATGCAGATGCATGAACGGAGGAACATGCTACACTGATGAGGGAGGCCTGCCGAAGTGCAAGTGAGTATAAGCGCTAGTGTAGAGCATCACGGACGTTATTTAAAGGGCTCATATCATGAGGAATCATATTTTCATTGAAATTTTAAGATGTGTTCATTGTTCTATAACAACTTGCTGGAACTTTTAGAACTTAGTACTTCCACCCCAATGAAAAAAGGCTGTGTAAAAAAAGACTAATTAAACTAGGCTGCTTAAATGACTGATGCCAGATATATGAATAAAACAATACAAATGGTATATATATATTTATACATACTGTACATACCTTAAATCTTCATATAAACCTATTATAATAAATATGAAGTATAGGCCTATGAAATGTTAAAAATGCTATAATTACTCATTTTATCATCAGAAATTGAAAAAATAATCAATTTAACAGAGGCATCAGTATCTATATTGATATAGGTGATACTTGCCACATGTACATGGTAGTATGTATGTATAGATATATAGATAGATAGATAGATAGATAGATAGATAGATAGATAGATAGATAGATAGATAGATAGAAAAAAAAGAAAGATAGATAGATAGATAGATAGATAGATAGATAGATAGATAGATAGATAGATAGATAGATAGATAGATAGATAGATGGATAGATATTTAGTGACCAATGACTGCTGCAATATTTAATATGAACTCATAATAATTTAATCATTTAAATATTTTAAAAATGATTACATTCAAATTACATTAAAAAAAATTACAATTTGTTTGAACTAAGCTTCTGAAATTACTCGTTCTGAACATGAGCAACATATAAATACATCTGAAAGCATGAACACATGTAGCAATGGTCCAAAATTGAAGTGATTATTTCTGGAAAATAAACTATTAACATTACAAATGTATACAAGGTAAAAATGTAGTTAAATAAACTGTTTAAAAATGCATGCTGTGACCCGTTTATGGACATGGAATGAAATTATTATTTATTTTTAGAATAAAAGAGAAATTGGTTTTGTCAGTGTCAGATTGTCTCTAACGGGTCAGTGTTTTTGCTTCTCAGGTGTTCATACGGATACTCGGGTAGTTACTGTGAAATGGGGAAGTCTAGAGGTGCTCCTGCAGGGACAGGTAAACAAACCCTTACTTGTTAATTAGTTATAAAAATGTTTCATTGTAAGTGTTGAGTAAACACTCTTACTCACGGTTGTAACATGTGATGCTGTTATTTATCCACTCTGGTTACTCTAACTAGCTCGTTCAGCATGTTAAATTCAAATGAAGAGTAGTGAAACTGCACTCATATGTCTTACATACTGTGTGTGTGTGTGTGTGTGTGTGTGTAGCTGTGACTGTCCTGTTAGCAGTGGTTATTATTCTGATTACTGGAGCCCTGGTTGTGGGAGTTTTCCTCAACTACAAGCGCACCGGCTCTCTCATCCCGTCAATGCCTAAACTACCCAGGTAAAACACAAACATGCCACTCAACTACCTACAGTTGATCTGAACCATAAAGCCTCGCTTAAAAACATATGACTTCACTTTAACCAACCGGTCTTGATGTGCTTTTAGTGGATGTATGAACAGCATATCTATTGTAAATATTATGAATTATTTTGGCGATTTTGTTGCTTGAAAAGTACTTATTTCCTTAAAATAAATGCCACTTGGTTTGATATTTTGCTCATCATAGCCAAATCAATGACTTGAGTGTCCAAATACACAACCGTTCAGAATTTAGCGTTAGCTAAGGTTTTTAAATGTTTTTGGAACTCACCAAGGCTGCATTTATCTGATCAAAAATAGTTAAAAACAGTGATATTGTGAAATATTTTTGCTAATTTGAATGTATTAATTTATTCCTGTGATCAAAGCTGATTTTTCAGCATCATTACTCCAGTCTTCAGTGTCACATGATCCTTCAGAAATCATTCTAATATGCTGATTAGCTGCTCATGAAACATTAGTATGATCAATTTTGAAAACAGTTGTGCCGCTTAATATTTTCGTGGAAAGTGTAATGCATTTTTTTCAGAAATCTTTGATGAATAGAAAGTTCAAAAGCATTTATTTGAAATAGAAATATTTTGTAACATCAAAACAACATCTAGTTAAAAATGTGTAGGTTGCTGCCTACTAAAGTTAACTTACTGCATAGGCTCTGTTATATTGAATATTCGTGTCATATTTGCAATTAAGCAACACCTTCAATATTGCGATGGATTTAATCTGCTTTTTATTTCTCTGTGAAGTTTCCATGTCATTAGATTAGATCAAAGAGAGCATTAAGACGCTTTTGTGTCTCTGATCAGCAAAAGCAGTGTTAGAGTTGGTGTAATTTTCATGTACCAATTTTTTTTCTCCACTGTTTTTCTGTTTCTCTTAGTCTGAGCAGCCTGGTGAAGTCGGCAGACACAGGAAACGGAGTGTCGTTTCATTCAGGTGACAATGTCACGATGGACCTGGAGCCTCAGACTCTGGGAGTGTCGTTCATCGACAGGGCCATGCAGCTGGTAAATGTGCTCTTTTGTGCTGATTTAACAGTAACTTATGACTCCTGGATCGTTAAGTGCACTCAGCACATTTTTCTTGATTTATCTATGAGGCGTTAAATCCCTGGTTGACCTTTTGACCCCAGTGTTAATGTTATCATTTCCATGACTTATATGTGCACTAGTTTCTAATAGGATTCTACTGTATCATTAATCACAATGAAAACTTTAGACTAGAAGATTCTGTTAAAAGTAGTCATCGACCGATCAAATGAGAAAATGACGATAATCAAATAATAATTTTTTTATGTTAATGGAAATGATAGGGTAGGCTCTTTTGCAAAATTTGGGGTCAGTAAGTGTTTTTTTTTTATTTACAAAGAAATGAATGCTTCTATTCCCCAAGGATGCATTACATTGATCAAGAATGACAGTAAAGAGATCTAGAGTTACAAAAGATTTATATTTCAAATAAATGCTCTTTTTTGAACTTTCTGTTTTCAACATTTATAATAATAAGAAATGTGTCTTGAGCAGCAAATCAGCATATTAGAATGATTTCTGAAGGATCATGTGACACTGAAGACTGGAGTAATGATGCTGAAAATTCAGCTTTGATCACAAGAATAAATTACATTTAAAAAGATATTCAAAAAGAAAACGGTTATAATATTTTACAATATTACTGTGTTTACTGTATTTTTGATCAAATACATACAAAGGAGACATTCAGAAACATTACAAAATCTTTTGAACAGCAGACGGCTGCTATCTGCTGATAATCTCAGATTTAAGTGTTCAAAATATTGACCGATTTAATTGATGTGGCTGATATCGGTCTATAGCTAGCTGTGGGCTGTAGCATTGATAAATAACAACTACTGAAAATATTTATGTAAGACATTTTCTTTGTCTGATCCGAATTCTCTGTTTTTCATTATTAGGATGAGAATTTCGAAGACTCTGGTAGGCAGCCAATCACTTTTGAGAATCCTCTGTACTCGACTGCAGCCGGCTCAGCCAGCGATCCGGCAGTAATACACGCTACACAGGTATACTTGCTTCTAGAAACCCTCTCGACACTGCTTACAGTATAAATCAAACCTTTTCCACCTGAGCGGGTCTTGTGTTGAGTTTTGTGTTTCTGTGCTTCATACAGGTCACTGTGAACATCAGCGGTGACCAGGTGGACGGCAGCAACAATACTACAGCGAGAATAAAAGTTACGCCTTCTTTCTTTGCGTGAACATTTGGGCGCCGTTATGCAAATCTTCCCACATCGTGACGTAGACATGTGGGGGCGTGTTAGAACGAGCCGTTTTAGGTAGGAGTGGTTAACTCTTAACTTTTATAAAGAATATCTCTTTGGATTTGAGACTTTAATCTTTGCAACTTTACAGATCTTCTTTATGCACCAAGAGCTTGTAACACTCCAAAGAGAAAGGAAAAATTGAAATCACATCATATGACCCCTTTAACTAAAATTAGCATGAAATCAGAAAACATAAAAATGAACAACTATAATAGAATATCAGCCGTATTAAAATGGCACTGGCGCTTCTGTGTGCTTTTGTCATTGATCAGCTCATTAAACCTCCTTCAAGTACAGCACTTAATTACGAAAATGCATAGTAATAAACCATCTGCAGTATTTCCACATGAGAGACGGTAACTGTTCCAGTAGCAGTAATAGCATGTAAATGCTATTTTTTGGGTCTTGATGTGAGAATGATATGCATGTGTTCACTGATACTAATGTTTAAGTTCACATTATCATTGTTTGTGTCAGATGCAGGATGAGCAGACGCATGGAGCTGCAGACGCCAGCTCTTCATCACAGCCGTCTCCTTTCGTTCCTCCTCCCAAACCCCAGAAGCGAGAGAAACTCGGCGTGTATTCACCGACGGAGGACACCTTCAGAGACACGGCCAACCTGGTTAAAGAGGACAGTGAAATATGACCATCACACACACACACACACATGGGAAAATACAAAGAAACATCCCTTTGCACAGAATCTATTTTTATATGCAGCCTGCATACGACAGAAATCAATTTAAGATTATTTTTGAAACAAAAAAAAGTATAGATGAGAATAGATTAAATGTTTGTATAGTCTACAGGAAAGAGACTTTGCCTTCTGATATTTTGTATGCCAATTCACGTTGTATGATTCTTTTTTTATTATTATTGTGACGTCATATTTGTATATCTTTGCACTGATGCTGCTGAAGGAGAATGTTATGAATATTTTGTACATTTGTAAATTGAAAAGATTTTGTTTGATAATATCCTCTGGTCAGATGTTATTTTGAAATAGATTATTACTTATTCCTGGAGATTCGCACACACACACACACACACACACCCACATACATATGTCAGCGATACTGAGAAAAGTGCTTTGAGAGCCAGCTGAGACTTTACCATTTGATCTGATTCTTCTTAAAGGAACAGTCCACCCAAAAATTCACCCTCAGGCCAAGATGTAGATGAGTTTGTTTCTTCATCAGAACAGTTTTGGAGAAATGTAGCATTGCATCACTTGCTCAGCAATGGATGCTCTGCAGTGAATGGGTGCCGTCAGAATGAGAGTCCAAGCAGCTGATAAAAACATCACAATAATCCGCACCACTCCAGTTCATCAGTTAATGTCTTGTGAAGTGAAAAGCTGCGTGTTTGTAAGAAACAAATTCATTATTAAGATGAAGATCATTATTATTCAAATCGTTGCTTCCAGCTAAAATACCAGTTCATAATTCATAGTAACACTTCCTCCAGTGCAGAGGTGAATAATTTTTTTATCTGTTTTTGCAACTGAGAAAACACAACACATATGCATCACTTATGTACATATACCTCATCTGTGGAGCGGCCAGATTCGAGAAAAAGAGCACAGTACTATTAAAGGAATAGTTCACCCAAAAATGAAAACTCTGTCATTATTTACTCACCTGCTCCAAAAACAACCATAAAAGTATCATAAAACTTGTTCAGATGACTTGTGCATTATATTTTAAGTATTCTAAAGTTATATCTTTTTTTTTTTCACCGAATTGTGTGAAAAAGAGCTGATTATTTTCCACATAATATGGGTTTCAAGTGACATCAGGGTGAGGAAATAATGTCAGAAATGGTAAACTACTCCAAATATGAGATCCAGAGAAAGCGACTCTAAAAATATGTGACACATTCTGCTGTAAACACATTTAATATAGAAGTAGAAGACACACCACTTCTGTTTTATATATTCAAATAATACTTGAAATTTATATGCATGTGATTATGACTGTGATATCTGGAGATCTCTGATGTCCCATTCAGCGTTTCAGTGGCTTTTCATATTTACTTTCCCATCTGATGAAGTGCATGGGCAGTGAAGTCAGTATATTTTAAATGATTTTGTATATTAATGACAGGAAAAAAATAATAATATTATGAATTTATTCATCTTGACATGCTGATATGTGACTATAGAAAGGAACTGGAAACCAATTAATGCTGCTGTGAAAAATCCAATAAATTTGTTTTTATAAGAAATGTTCCAGTTTTTTTATGTACAAGAGATACACACACACACAGTTAGTGTGTGTGTGTGTGTGTGTGTGTGTGTGTGTGTGTAAAAAAAAAAGAAAGATGATATTTTGGGAGGTTAGTGAGCTTCTGCTTGATGGAGAGCTTTGATATCTATGCTCTTGGTTCTCTTCAAGCCTGTTCTTCACTCTTTGCAAAGGTTTTTTCTTTTCTTTTGCTGCAGTGATGCCATAGAAGATGAACCATTTCTGGTTCCCCCAAGCACCTTTAGAATACTGATTAAAATACTTTTTCTCTCTCTTAGCGTGTGTAACAGCCTTTTTCCAATATAAAAAGCCTTTTGTGCAATATAAAGGCTTCATGGATGTAAAAGGTTCTTCATGGAATCATCAATGGCAAAAAAGAACCTTAATGTTTAAGAGTGCTGAAGAGTTTTCCATTTGGAGTCATTCCTTCAAAGCACATTACCCATCCAAATGCTCGGTTTTATTTGTTTAAAAGAAAAGTTCAGATTAAGTAAGTTATGACATGATTTCAAAGTCTAGGTGAAACTATATTGTTTTCTGTGTTGGCGCGTACATCCAAGTGTAATGGATTATTAAAAAAGAAATTAACTAAAAAGTTTTTTTTTATGATTTGATGTTGAGATGTAGGTGTTGGACTCAAATTGGAGGCAGGTGAATGTGAGTGTAGGGTTTAAGCAAACTAAATGATTGGAGAGGTCTCGTCTTCATCAGAATATCCATTTATGACATTTTTCTTAAAAATGACACGGTCAAACTTTTTATTAAAAAAATAAACATGAACGAATCAGTGTGTTGTAGGACACCAAAGGGTGCTTTATTTATGGAAAATGCAACAATGCATAAAATGTATTTTCAATTTCATTATTGCCCTGCCCTGCATCATATTTGCTGAATGAAATCCATTACTTTTCTTACTAATTTTGAGGTGCTTATTGCAAAAAAAAAAAAAAAAAGTGCCTGTTTTGCTCTATGTCACTTTCTCACTAAATATGATGCATTTCATAGCATTTTTGCTTTCAACAACCGTTTGTAAGGTGAAGTCATCTTGTATTTTCCCCCTAATCAGCAGAAAACTTGCCACGAAGACATGATTCCCATCTTCCTCTGAGTCAGTTTGCAACCATTTGTTCAATTCTCAGCCCATTTTCACATAAGAATGATTCCAAAGACATTATTTTATGCCTAATTCTGATTTCCACATTTTGCACTACTTTACAGTTTGATATGAACTTTTGACATTTGACTGTTTTACATGATGGAAAGTTTTTATTGATATTTTCGAACTCGGCATCATCAAATTAGGTAATATTAGGCCTTTTTTTTTTTTTGCAAAGCAGCAGAATTGTTTTTCAAGATGGAGGGCTGTGTAAAAATTGTTGCGTACAGCATGGCATGTGGCATGCATGACGTCACTTTGGAAAGGTCACTACTGGCCAGAATCTTCATGGAGAACTCCTGCAAATTTATATCTGGAGGAAACGACTGAGAGAAGTGCAGAGATGCCACATTGTTGTGAGTCAAGTATCATGTGTGTCATAGGATGAGCATGTTTGCATGAACTATACCTTTAAATGCATCATGATATCCAAATCTCCAAATTCTAAAGTAGTGTTGCATGAAATCTGCATTGATATGTCACCAGAAGCACTCACAGTCATGCAGGTATGAGTCTCCGTAGGCTCTCCTGACCTCTGTTGGGAGGTTGCTCCACCATTTCTTCAGATCATCTTCAGTGAGGCTCAGATCTGTTACTTGTGTTTTGAAGAAGCCTGGTTCAGTGATACTTCCGTTCACTCCAAAGTGCATCATATCTCTCCTGATATCAGCCAGAGAGAATAAAATGATTTTAGAGACATTATTAGACATTGAAGTAAAAATGCAAATCTCAAAGAAGTTGAAGTATGGGCACGGTTTAAAAGATTTACTCAGTGAAATGTCAAAGTGATTCAAGGTTAACTTCAGAAAGACTGACGTTGTGGTGACTGACCAAAGTTAGAAATTGATTTTTTGGCTTTTTTTAATTATAGTCAGATGAAAAGTATGGCTTGTTAGCAATATAAAATAATAAATGTTATTTTTATTCATTTAAAAATATTTTTATATGTTTTATGTATTTTATTTAAATTCATTTATTTATTTATTTCAGTCCTTATGACCTGTGAAATCTGTACTTTTGTAGTTTGTAGCTAAACTGTTTGTTGCTCAGCAATAGATGTTCTGCAGTGAATGGGTGCCGTCAGAATGAGAGTCCAAACAGCTGATAAACACATCACAATAATCCACACCACTCCATCCATCAGTTAATGTCTTGTGAAGTGAAGAGAGAAAGAAAGAATAGACAAACACAAATCCCTTAAGAAAATTAACCATGGTTTTATAGTAAAAGTGTAACATTGGAGGACTTTTTCATTGGAGGAAGTGTTATTATGGATTATGGATATTCTGGCCAGAAGATAGTTTAAAATGAAAACATCTTAATGATGGATTTGTTTCTTACAAATACACAGCTTTTCACTTCAATAGAGTGGTGTGGATTATTGTGATGTTTTTATCAGCTGTTTGGACTCTCATTCTGACGGCACCCATTCACTGCAGAGCATCCATTGCTGAGCAAGTGATGCAATGCTACATTTCTCCAAATCTGTTCTGATAAAGAAACAAACTCATCTACATCTTGGATGGCCCGAGGTGCATGAGTAAACTGTCAGCAAATATTGATTTTGGGGTGAACTATCCCTTTAAGGTCAAAGGTCACTGAAGTCTTCAGACAAACATGTCAGGTGCATTATGAGGAAAGTATGTGGTTCTATAATAAATGATGCAGCTTTGGTATGAGAATGGCATTTGGCTGAAGGTGCTCCTCCAGGTCAACTAAAAGCGCTTGTCCAAGAGTTGCAGATTTATGAGTTGGTCTGAGGGCTGTGTGGTCGTCAAAGTGCCTGTATCTCGGCTTTATCTCTTGCTGTGCTTGACTCGAGCTGGCACCCTATCTGACTGTCCGTCTCACCTCTCTCCCCGGTCTCGCTGCGCTCACACTGTCGGTAACATTGAGCAGAAGCGTCTTCAGTCTGGGGGAGGCGGATGCACGCAGTCTGGAGGCACCGTGAACACCCTGCCGGTCGAGCTGCCGCGCCGCGAGGTGTCCGAAGCCGCTATCGCAGCCCGTCACCAGGACGTGTTTCTCGTGAGTCTCGGAAGAACCAGACGGCGGCGACGAGCGCGAGAACGGCCAGAGAACCGCAGCAGATCCACGCAGAAGAACACCCGCGGGTGGAGACGGGTGAAGCTGTGCTGAATAAACATCGACCTTGTTCTGTGATGATGTACAAAACTAAACAATTCCATGTAGACTTTTCAGGCAACATTTTTCCTTCCATTTACTAGATTTGAATGATTACGCACACGGCACTGAGAAATAGGCCTACTCAAGTGAATATCTAATCATATGTTATTAAAGCAAAATATAACTAGAAAAGATTTACTAGACATGCCCATGACTTAATTCATGGAAATTTTTTAATTCCAAATTTTTCTTACCTTTAGATATTTACCACGGTAAATGCAATTGTAACAGTTATTGTAATTACAAAAACACTGTGACATTGGTGTTTGACCCCACTTTCATCAATCAGTCAATAAATAATGGCAGAAATATTTGAAAATCTTAAACATTAATTGTAGCTGTGTATAATATTTATTTTCTTTATGTATTTATTTTATATGTTTTTTTTTATTTATACGTTTATTTATAGATTTTTAAAAATATATAAATTCATTAGAATTTTATGTGAATACTTTTTAATTGTTTTTCTTTATTATTTGTATACATTTTAAGCAGATTTTATGTAGATATTTATGTTTTTTTTTTTCAGGTTAATTTTAAGAGATAGTGTTTACATTCTCACCTGAACAAAGTCCAGAAGGTCCTAGGGAACAACAAGGGTACTTTACTAACTTTAAAAGAAGAGACACGAGAGTAAAAGCTGTGATAAATAACACTTTTAGAGAAAAGGCGAGGCGTCCTCATAGACTGTATAAAAACAGGGCGTCAGTGAATTTGTGTTGTTGGCAGATTCCTATTTAGTTCAAATCAGGTTGTGCTTCTGTGTGAAAGTTTATACGCATAAACTTCCATCGGGACTGACCATATTAAAACTGATTATAGTGCACAACCATGCACTGGTTGGAGAAACACAAAAAAGTGGAGAAACACAATATCGTTACAATGTCTGGCTGTCTGATTGTAACAAAAATAATAATAATAACGCTAAAAACATTTGCATTTCGATCAATAATTAAGCACATATAAGATCTTTACGATTCTTTGCATTATTTTTATGACAATTAAGCACGTTTTCTTTTGTCTTCATTAAAAGCATGTTTAATGTCTTCATTACCTTAATGCAAAATAAATTTTTTCATAATTTAATACAACAATTTTCCTCCATTAAATCATGCATTTAACCTCGTATTTTAGAGTATAGAATATTTGCTAGAAACTAAACACTTATAATTTAATTTGTTTAATGCTAAACAAAAACGTAATTGTATACAAATCATTCAACAGCCACTAGCTGGCATCACAACTATAACAGTATGTTCCCCTTCAAGGGAACTCGCGCTGCATCCTCTAGAGGACACTATGGGGAATGGAATGGTCACTCAGCCATTCCTGTTAGCCTGGTGAGAAAGGGGAACGTCTCGGGTCACACATACAGTGGGGGAAAAAAGTATTTAGTCAGCCACCAAAGTTCCCAGAGAGGGAACGAGATGCTGCCGATTTTCACTGATTTCACTGTTTCACTGATTTATTGCAAAAATAATTTCTAGCTTTGAACACTGAAATATTAACAAATCACGCACACATTAAACCCTACTATGCTTTATACATTAATGAAATAAAGACAAATTACCTGATCATGTTCAGAATTGACTAACGTACCATGACTTGTGCAGTTGTCAATACTCCTTCACAGTGAAATCCAGTAGATCTTGTTTCCGAAACCCCGATTCTCACTCGATTTTGATTTTGACGCAATATTTACACTGAAGCTCGCAGATGACCATGGTAAGGGGCATGACATTTCCCGACCAGGCGCCGAGTGCTGCCAATCACAGCACACACTGGCCCAGCTGACCAGTCACAGCACACACTGGCCCAGCTGACCAATCACAGCACACACTGGCCCAGCTAACCAATCACAACACCCACTGGCCCAGCTAACCAATCACAACACACACTGGCCCAGCTAACCAATCACAGCACACACTGGCCCAGCTAACCAATCACAACACCCACTGGCCCAGCTAACCAATCACAACACACACTGGCCCAGCTAACCAATCACAGCACACACTGGCCCAGCTAACCAATCACAACACCCACTGGCCCAGCTAACCAATCACAACACACACTGGCCCAGCTAACCAATCACAGCACACACTGGCCCAGCTAACCAATCACAACACCCACTGGCCCAGCTAACCAATCACAACACACACTGGCCCAGCTAACCAATCACAGCACACACTGGCCCAGCTAACCAATCACAACACCCACTGGCCCAGCTAACCAATCACAACACACACTGGCCCAGCTGACCAATCACAGCACATTTCGTATTTCAGAAGGCGGGCCTTCTTTTGATACAGGAACTATTCGAGCCGTTCATGCCCGACTGAGAGAGAGGTGTTGTAATAATGTAAAATATCAGAAAAAAATTTAGTTTTTCGAACAACCTAGTATGAGAGCCTGTTCTAGTCATCCCCCCAAAACTAAATCAAGACTTTTTTGTAAAAGAGCATAATAGGACCCCTTTAAAGGATTCATTGACGAATCGGGCTGAATAAGGCGGTTCTGGAGTCAAAAATTAATTGAATCGTTTATTTCGAACATAACCGAATCGGAATGAGCCGAGTAGCGAAGTGAACTTGTGGATAGAAACAATGTAAAACAATTGTCAATAAAGTAGACCTACTTTGATTTTGAATATTACATGCATTTGGGTTGAACTGGAGGGGAAGTAAGTAAACATTTCTCAAATAAAACGTGCTGCAATGTTTGCAACTTGATTGTTTGACAGTTTTATCAACGCACACACACTTGGTTTTATAAAATGTAATTTATAACGCGCAAAAATGTGTATTCGAAAGATGCGCGTGCAGCAGCTGGCGCGTGCACTCTCAGACACTTGCACTTCCGCTAGCGACGTCACTTGCAGTCTTTATTCTTTTTTATTTTGTTCTATTTATTGATTACTTTTTGTTTGAATCTCTCAGCATTTTACAACAGTAGCCAGGTGGTGAAGACCAGAAAAAATAAACTAAATTACGAAGTCCCTTGCAATCGACACGAATCGTGCGTGTTGCCGATGAAGACAAGACGCTGTGCTGGTGATTAAACGATTAAAACTAAGTTAGTGCCGTAACCTACAGGGTCCTGCAAGAAAAAGACAAGACCCGCAAATCCGTGGCCACAGAACAGCAGAATATGAACGCATGCGCAAAGCCTCTTGCTGCGCGTTTTCCTCCTGTAGAAAAACATAAACACTAAATATGGCTTAATGTATTAAGATGCTATTAAAATATCAAATTCAATATACAGTTTATTAATATAATGAATATGTATATAGTATTTTCCTCCCACGTCGCAAAACGTGGCATAATGGACTAAGATGATAAAGACCAAACTCAATGCTCTTGATTATTAAAATATAGCCTACATAACTCATATACAGGCAAGCAGGTGAGCCCAGAATAAACGCAACACGCACAGTTTCGCGTTAAGCGTTTTTCCATATAGAATAAACTGTCTACAGCTCTTTTATATCATAGTCTTTGTCCATTAAGCTACATTACGTGTTTTATTTATAATGATTTTCTAGGGGAGGACAATTTTTAACATGCAATTTAACGCATTGCGTTCTGGGCTCGTCTGCTGGCCTGTACGGAGTTGATCCTTTTAAAATCACTTCATGCATTTCATAATGCACGTTCATATTTGCTGGTCTGTATATACTTTGAGTCAACAACAAGACATATAGGCTACTGAATTGTCTTTATCATCTGTTATTATG